TGACTTAGAGGAACAGTGATTATCTCTTTAAATGCCCTGCCATTTCCATAACCCCCCTGGTGAATTCTGTGCATGCAGCCCAGCCATTATTTTATTTTTAAAATTTTTTATTTGGCTGCCCTGGGTCTTAGTTATGGCATGTGGCATCTAGTTTCTCCTCCAGGCCCCCGCATTGGGAGCATGGAGTCTTAATCACTGGACCACCAGGGAAGTCCCCAGTCATTATCCTCATACTCACACTCCAAATTTGAGAAATGCTATCCAACCATTTTGCACGCTGCAGTGACAGACAGATATTTAATTTATTTACTGATTGAACATGAGAGGTCATAGGGAAAGGAAATTTAAAATTAACTGAAGTCGTTTCACGCTTCAGGGACAAGGGCAGTGTGTAAATGAAAAATCACCACAATAACGAGGACAATTAGGGAGGAACACTTTGAAAGTTGAGCAGACTGGCTGGTTTGAGGGGAAAGATGGTGAGCTTGCCTCTCGGAGCCTTTAATTGGAGTTGACAGTGGAACACCCACGTAGAAACGTCCTGTAGCCAGCTGGAGCTGACTGGAGCTCAGGAGAAAGGGAGAGGGTAGAAACTGAAGTCAAGATTCATCAGCCTAGAGCAGTGAGAGTTGATGTTTTGAGCTGTGACAAGTCCTCTTTGGAAAACAGAGCAAGTAGCCGGAGCCAAGCTGGACTTGGAGTCCAGACTCAATGAAAAAAGTGAAAGTGAAGTCGCTTAGTCGTGTCCGACTCTTTGCGACCCCATGGACTGTAGCCTACCAGGAACCTCAGTCCATGGGATTTTCCAGGCAAGAATACTGGGATGGGTTGCCATTTCCTTCTCCAGGGGATCTTCCCGACCCAGGGATCAAACCCGGGTCTCCCGCATTATAGGCAGACGCTTTACTGACTGAGCTACCAGACTCAATACATACTTTCTAATGTCCACATAGGAGAGGCCAGCACATAGGTCCTGATCCAGACCCACTGCACGTGACTAGGAGAAGGATCTTTAAAACCTTGGAATAATTTTATAGGAACAGTGGGAGAACAAAGTCAAATTTTAGGGCATTATGGGGGGGGGGACGGCGGGGGGGAATGGGCTTCCCAGGTAGCTCAGATGGTAAAGAATCTGCCTGCAATGCAGGAGAACCAGGTTCGATTCCCGAGTTGGGCAGATCCCCTGAAGAAGGGAATGGCTACCAATTCTGGTTTTCATGGACAGAGGAGCCTGGAGGGCTACAGCCCATGGGATCACAAAGAGTCAGACACGACTGAGCAAACTATCTATGGGGGGAATAATTATGTTAGAATCGGAGGTGTTGGTTGAAGGCCATTTCGTGAGCTGAAGTCCCCAGAGCTCGCTGTCTATACCTGCCGTGCAGTTTCTCTGAACACATCCTACTTTAGATGATGGCTTGAGTTCATCATGTATTTGTCTTAACCAAGATTCTGAATTCTCTGAAGGCGAGACCTGCATCTTATCAGTTTTGTTCCTTTAACTCCTAACACCGTGACTTACAAAAATAAATGCTCAGTAAAAATTCTAAAAAGTTCACTTCCCTGCTCAGGATGAGCTCTAGGTTGCCCTTGGCAGTGTTTTCCAAATTTTAATCTTCCTTGCTCTGGAGTGGGAGATGAACTTGGTGGTACAGGGACGTTTGTTTTTAAAATAAGGCATTTAAGGGATTGATGTACCAAAAGCAGACTGGTTATAGTGTAGAATCAACAGAGTCCCGGTGGACATTTATTTTTTTACAGAGGAAACAATGAATCTCCATTTGTGAATTTGATATGAAGTTTTAAAGTTTTTAAATAACTGTGTTTAAGTTAAAAAAAAAGTGAGTTAATGAGAAAATATTTCAAAATAAGTAAATTTTAGTAAATGAGTTAGATGATATACTCAGTAAAGATCTTAAAGTGAGAAGACTGAAGTTTGGGTGGATGGCCCCACTCCTCTTTTGGAACTCCATGCATTCTACTCTCCCTCACCAGCAGTGCTGTTGTTGTTCAGACATGTCTGATTCTTTGTGACCCCATAGACTGCACACCCCAGGCCTCCCTGTCCTTCACCATCTCCTGGAGTTTGCTCAAACTCATGTCCATTGAGTCAGTGATGTTGTCCAGCCATCTCATCCTCTGTTGCTTCCTTCTCCTTCTGCCCTCAGTCTTTCCCAGCAGCAGGGTCTTTTCCAGTGAGTCGGCTCTTCACATCAGCAGCTGTAAAATCAGGGGCTTCAAATGCTAGTGATATTTTTTCACAGTACGCATCAAAATAAACACAGAACTATAAAGGTAAAACCATATGTATCCATAGCCCACCTAAAATTATCTCCCTCCCCATTTTAGGAAACGTTGCTATTTGGAGGTTTATCTGGTCTCCCCACTTGCCTGGGGAATCCTTACTGTCGGGCACCATGGATCATTCACAGCAGCATTTCTGGCAGTAGAAGAGCCTGGCATAGAGTGGGCATCATTAAGTATTTGCTCGGAAAATGAAAGGACAGCAAGATGCCAGCCGTAACGTTTAATAGCTGAAGCGCCAGTATGCCAACACTCGGTACAGTTCAGAGACGACAGATCTCAGGGTGGCCCCACATACAGTTCAAGGTAGAAACAGACCCCACAACATGGCATTATCCACCCTGGAGCTCTCTCCCTGATGTTGGGATTCTAACTAATGAGTTTGGGGGTGGGGGGGCAAGTTGAGTTCTTTCAAGCAGAAAGCAAGCTCCTGAAATCTCTCCCTCACTTACTTCTCTCTCTGTGGCCAATGCCATCTGCTAGTTTTAAAAATAATTTTTAAAAGCAAGTGTTTTGGTTCTCTTCAACGTGCAGCAAAGACAGATGCTATTTTTAGGCTTGTTTTCTATCAAAAAACCCCTTAAGAACCAGGGGTTGGTTGTCGGCAGTTCTGGCTGACTGTCTCCACTCTGCCACTAACTTGTGAGTGACCTTTTTGCAAATCTCATATGCCTTGGACACTGAGAACAGAAGTGATAATTCTGTCTCTCATTAGAGATGTTGAGAGGGTGAAGTAGCGTCGGGGTGAGAAAGTCCTACAATACTTCAAAAATAATTGATTAACCCGTACCCTTCCCTTGTGGTCTGCCAGCTTTTTTGACACATGGCTGAATTTCTATATCCCCTCCCTTCCCCCCTGGACAGAGAGCTCTCAGACAGGAGGACACACCCACACATCCATGCAGTGTCTGGGTGAGAACCTTACACAGGAAGCTGTGTAATAAGAGGTTAGAAGTGTAGACTCTGAAACCAACCTGCCCAGGTTCAAATCCTGCCAGAAATGGTAATCCTCGTCACGTTGAATTGTTCAGAGAGATAAATGAGATAAAATATATGAAGCGCTTTGTCACATAGCAAGTGCTCACAAGGTGGCAGCTTTATTGAATGGTTGTTATTCTAATTATTGGACACTCATTATACATTTGACAGATGCACATATGACTGTTATGTATAACACCAAGTTCTGTGTGCTGTAAGGAAGATTTTTTTTTAATGGTAGATTAAACCTTTGCTGTATGGCCACCATCATGTTGTTGTTTAGTTGCTCAGTTGTGTCTGACTCTTTGCAACCCCATAGACTGCAGCACGCCAGATTTCCCTGTCCTTCACTGTCTTCTGGAGTTTGTTCAAACTCATGTCCATTGAGTTGATGGTGCCATCTGACCATCTCAACCTCTGTCACCCCCTTCTCCTCATGTTTAAATACTTTATATATGTACTTACTCTATAGGACAGGTGAATCATGTCCACTTTACAGGCAGAGAGAAAGCTGGAGGTTTGAGAGGTTAAGTAACAGCAGTTACAGAGCTAATACATGGTGGAGAGAAACTTGAAATCCTGTATTGATTTCGTCGGACCCTTTGCCCTACACATCACTTCTCTCCTAACCGCTCCTGGTCTAACAGCCCCACACAATAGCTTCATGACTTCTGACAGCAAATCCCTCTTTTAAATTGGCGACCCCGCCACTCCAACATATAAATAAAACCCAAACACATATTTCACATCATGACCAGTCCTGGAAGCCACACACAGGACTTCTACAGCATCCTGCTGGTTACAGAAGTCAGTCCAGTTCGTAGAGGGAAGGGACGACACCAGGATGTGAACATCGGGCAGTGAAAATCACTGGAGGGGGGTGCCTCGTGGAGGCGGGCTCCCACGGCTGCCTATTACCCATCATACGATTATTCACATAGTAGTCTTCACTCTTTATTAAAATTATTTTTCTCTGAAATGATGGCCATTAAGTCACAAGGTTGATGTGTTGATTGTATTTTCCAGTACAAACGAGTAAATTTAGCATTATTAATTTTTTCTAAATATTTATTTTTTACTGTGCTGGGTCTTCATTGCTGCACAGGCTTTTCCCTAGTTGCAGTGCGTGGGGTCTACTCTCTAGTTGCGGTGTGTGAGCTTCTCATTATGGTGGCCTCTCTTGTTGCAGCTCCAGGGTTGTAGAGCAAGGCTTGGTAGTTATGGCACATGGGCTTAGTTGCTCTGCGGCATGTGGGATCTTCACAGATCGGGATTCGAACTTCTATCTCCTGCACTGGCAAGTGGATTCTCTGCCACTGAATCACCAGGGAAGTCCAGTGTTATTCACTTTTTTAAAAATTTCAGAGACTTTTCTGATGGTCCAGTGGCTTAAGACTCTGCACTCCTAATTCGAGGGGCCTGGGTTCGGTCCCTGATTGGGGAACTAGATCCCACATGCTGCAACTAACAGTTTGCATGCCACAACTAAAAACCAGCACAGCCAAATAAACAAAAAAGATTTTTTAAAAAATTTCACATTCTTCCTGTGTTCACTTGTGTACTTCCAGTGGCACAAATACTCCATTTGGGGAATCAAGGCACCTGGCCTGTCGTGGAGCCCTGGGGGGTTGGATCATAAATCTCAGCTATTACCTGCTCTCCATCCGGGGCCCAAGAAACTCCAGAAGGCTGACTTTGCTCTTTGCTGTCTCCTCCAGGATCGCCTGTACTTCGTGATGGAGTATGTGAACGGCGGTGACCTCATGTACCACATCCAGCAAGTGGGCCGGTTCAAGGAGCCTCACGCCGTGTAAGTGGTGCAGTGCTTTTCCCTTGGGATGAATGAGTGGGTGGTTAGTTCCTTTGGGTTTTTAGCCAAATAAGAATTTTAAATATCTTAGGCTTCTTTAAGAGAAATGCGTGGCCGGGACAGAGGGTGTTCTGCTGAGATGGGCTACTTGTTTCTTGCTTAACACCCGCTAAGAGCTGGAAGCTTGAAAATCACAGCTATTTCTTGACCTCCACGTTTTGCCCCTGGCTCTTAAGGAAAGCCCTAAAAATTCCTTGGGGAATGTCACTGTAGGTTTTGTGTTTTCCTTTGCCCATATTGATTGAGAGCTTGCCATGTGCCAGGCTCAGAGATTTGAGAGACTTGCTCACGGTCACAGAGCTCGTGTGAGGCAGACCCAGAATTCTGACCCAGATCTTCCTTGCTCACGATATCACTCCCTCCTAGCTGTCCTCATTCCAGGGAGATGAAAGCTCAAGCTGCATAGTGACTATGCTCTGTGGCTCTTGGAGTGGGGAGGCTGACTCTGGGTTTTTGGAGATCTGTTTCCCCTGCTGAGTCCGTTCCATCACCTTCAGTCCACAAGGCAGCCGGTCTCTTTTTTCTGGAACACATTTCATCCTGTGTCTCCCTGCAGTTGGTGAATAGGAGCATGGCAAGTCACAGGATCGCCAGCGATCACCTCTCTTAGGGAGGTTGCTGGGCTCCTGCTCTCCCCTCTAGAATGCCCATGGGCCTCACCCAGGGCCCCATCCTGTCGCTGCAGAGGCCTCCTGGCTCCCGTGCAGCTCAGCCTTTCCCCCTCTCCTCCCCCCTGCCCAGGTCATGAACACTGATTCTGGGAGGGTTACCATTTCCGTGCTTCCAGGTCATGCCATTTGCGTGTCTTGGCACAATTCTAATGGGTTGGTTAGAAGTAAAAGGACTTCTAACATCTAATTGACCACTGACCTTCATTCCATTATCCCATGAGACACATTGTCAGGACACTTTACAGAGTTCCCCAAAGCCCTGCCCAGCCTTTATAACCAGGCTTTCTGATTCTCCCCAAATCTCTCTCTTAGATTTTGAAAATGAAAAGCTAACACTTCAGCCAGATGCTGTTTCCAATTCTGGCTGTGCTATTTATTAGCTGTGTAACTTGGTCAGGGTATTTCATGTCACTAAGCCTCAGTTTCCTCATTTGAGGAACAGGGAGGTAATTATAGCACCTTGTTGTTGTTTAGTCGCTGAATCGTGTCTGACTTTTTTGTGACCCCCATGGATTGTAGCCTGCCTGGCTCCTCTGTCCATGGGATTTCCCAGGCAAGAATAGTGGAGTGGGTTGCCATTTCCTTCTCCAGGGGATCTTCCCAACCTAGGGATTGAACTTGTGTCTCTTGCATTGGCAGGCATATTCTTTACCACAGAGCCACTACCCTATAAGATTATTGTTAAGGTTTAATCAGATAATAACCTGAAATGATACAAGGTCAATGGTAAGCCTTCAACAGATGTTAGGTGTTGTCATTGAGATATTTTAACTTGTTATCGTCTGAAACGATCCTTCTCCAGCCAGTTCATCATATCCTGTGGCCTCCTCCCCACTAAACAGTTGCTGAACCTCTGCCCACCCCCACTTGGTCTTTAAAGCAGCCTCATAGCTCTCCAAACCCTGTCCATCCGTCTAGACTCCCATACTTCATTTTATGAGATGTGTGGTTGACCATCCATGGTAAGACACTCATGCCTTACACCCAGTTCAATATTGTATTGAATTCTGAGAGTTGCCGGGCATATGGTGTCCTTGAATTTCTCCATTGCTTTTTTTTTTTTTAATTTCAGATTTTACGCTGCAGAAATTGCCATCGGTCTGTTCTTCTTGCAGAGCAAGGGCATCATTTACCGGTAAGCGAACACTGCTGTACTTTCCATCTCCTCGGCTCCCTCGGCTCCTCCCTTCCCTGCCTCTTTCTTTAACTGCTTTTAAAATTAGAATCCATGGTGGGGGAGGAATCCTCCAGTACTAACTTGGGCATGTGCTCTGCCAGGCAGCATCGCCCACTGCCCTGGCAAAGTTTGGGCAGCTCTGTATGATGACAGAAGATCTTGATGGACTCTGCCTCCAGGGATGGTTCGGAGCCTCAGATGTGAGACCATTTGCTCTAAGAGAAGGAGGCTGACACTGGAGACCCAGCACGTCCTTCTCTTGCCGGTGGACCCCACATTTGGGAAGCAAGCAAAGACTCTGGGCTGGCAGAATGTGCTGGATCATATTATTATGAAACACATTTCTCTCTTTCTGTTTCCTTTCTTTCTCTCTCTCCCTTTCTTTGTTTCTTTTTGTGCTATGTAACTACAGTTTGGGAATGGATCTCTGAGTAGCTTGCCCTGAAAGACAGGATTAAGTTCAGGACTTGGCATTTGCTCGTTTTTGGAGGAGCAAGTGTATGATCATAGTCGGATGAGTCATCCCACTTTATATCTCATGCAAGGCAGACTGTGGAGCCTGGGGCTGCTATTTGTCAGTGAGTCCAGGGTGTATAATTCTCCTTATACCACATGGATGCAAGCATTACAGTGCAGGCTCGGGCTGGTTTGTTATACAAGGGAGGCTGGCATGTGGCACGGGGCTTCCAAAGGACACTTGGCCTGGGCAAGGGTCTGTTTAAATGATCTTGAAGAGTCACCAAAGTCCATCTGATTGACTGAGTGGACAAACATTTATTGGAAGCCCACCATATCATACACTGGCCTCTACTCTAGGTGGGGGGATGCAGTGTGAAGAAAACAAAGGCCAGCCTTTGTAGAGCTCATATCCCAGTGTGGAAGACAGATCCCGTAGATCGTGAAAATGCTGTCTGTAGTGAGGAGTACTATGGAGGAAAGTCAAGCAGAGGACGGGGCTGATGCGGGCTGGGGGGGTGCTTGCCTGACATCCCATATAGAGTGTGAGATTGGAATCTGAAGAGTTAGGGAGGACCCTCAGAAGCCTGGTCTTCCCAAAGCAACTGAAGGACATGGAAATAAAAGGCATAAAGGGATTAGCCTGGTGATCTCAAGGCAGAAGGTGGAAGTGAGGCTGTGGGCCCTGGTGGTATGAGGGATGGAAAGTGAGGGCCTTGCCAGAATCCTGCAGAGTCCTGGGGCTTTTTTTCCCACTTCTTGAGGTAGCAGATCCTGAGTGCATTGAGTCCCCACTCTGCCTGTGTGCTCCTGATAACAGAGGAATGAAGGTCAAGAAGCAGAGTGGCTTTACCTGGCACAATCTTGATCTCAGTAAAGAAATAGAGACAGCGAGTAATCATAATAATTTCAGCTGTAGATAGTGTAGTCATTCTACCCATGCTCACCCTCAATGAACATGTGTTACCATGTATGCATGAAACGGGGCCCGTGAAGCCTCTGATTTCCCCAGTTTCCCCTTTGACTGTCAGAGTGGGAGCATCTTGTTGTACTGAAGGTATTTCTGGTATTGAAAGGTACACATTATCTTCCTTATGACATGAAGACCCCTACATTCAAGCTGATGACTTCAGCTAGTGCTTAAACCAAAGGACAGGGGATCATGGGTAATTATTCACTCTACACGATTTTCTCCTTACATGCTGACACTTGAATCTGACTCTTCTATGGGATGGGCTTCCACCAGAATAGAATCAGGCACTTAAGCATTGTTGAGAAGATAAAATAAGGGACTGTAAATCTATTAGAAGAAAACTCAGTCCCAGGGGAGGAACCAGGACAGGAAATTATTTGAGTTCTTGCCAACAGGGCTGGGATTCAAGGCAAGGTTTCTAATATATCAGGGAACTAGACTGGAATCTGGGATCCATTGGTCCAGGTCATAAAATCCAAAGATTAGGATTCTAGGTGCTAGACCATGCCTAAATGCAAAGCTTTTTCTCCTAACTGTACGTTCTTCCTTTCCTCTTCCATTGTATTTGTCATTCTTTTAAGCCACTCACCCTCTGAACCCCTTTCATTTGTGGGTAGGAATGGAGTCCATATCTTCCTCTAAAGATTTAACACGCCAGGTACTTTTTGTAGCCTCCCTATAGGAAGAACAGACACACAACTCAGACTCTGATGCTCGTCATATTCACTGAAGACCTTGAATCAGAAGTTAGTGACCAAGAAGCAGAGCCTGTAGAATGGAGAGTGGACGTAATCATCAGCTATGGCTAGTTTCCAGAGGTGTGAGGGGAAGTGGTTCTTAGGAATAGCATCCAGAGTCCAGCATTAGGGCTTCATGGAACAAGGGACAATGTCTATACCCAATGGTGACATCAGTGGCATCTTCACTGGGTCATTTCTGTGCTGGTTAGTCATTGTTCATGGCTGCCTAGCCTCCAAGTCTGGTTCTCCAGCCTTTTTGGAGATTCTCAGCACTCCCCCAATTCCTTTCTAAAAACTCCTTTTTTGGTTGAAATAGTCAGAGTTGGGTTTTTTTTTTTTTTTTTCCTCACAATCAGGAACTTTGGTGAAGACAGCAATTGATAATCAAATGAAAACTGCAGAAAATTTACATGACAGAAGATAAATGGTTTTATAAATTCACAGATATTGATTTCATGGTGGCAGAGTCTTTTTAGAGGCTTCCTTGATGGCTCAGCGGGTAAAGAATCCACCTGCAATCCAGGAGACACGGGTTCGATCTCTGGTTTGAGAAGATCCCCTGGAGGAGGGCATGGCTACCCACTCCAGTATTCTTGCCTGGAGAATCCCAGGAGCCTGGCGGGCTACAGTCCAAAGGGTCGCAAAGAGTCGTATGTGACTGAGCGACTAAGCACATGCACAGTCTTTTTAAATATTATAAATGCCCTTCTTCTTCATTTGGATCTCTTGTTATTTTGACAACTCTTAAGTAAAGAGGCTGAGGACTCAGGAGATTTGTCCTCTCTGAGGACCATGGCTGGAGATGTTGGGTGAGGGGAAGATGAAAGCCTTCCAAACTTAGTGTCTGATTTGTAGATCGCCATCTTTGGAGTGTGTCTTGATTTTGCTCCTGTTGGATTTGTGAACATGAAGACATCTGGCCAGCCCCCTTTAGAAGCACAGATGAGGATTTATTACGTTAAACAGAAGAATGGAGTGGACTGTCAAAACATCATTATGTGACATTATTATGTGACAGTTTGCTCTGGCCCCACGACCTGCTGGCTCGCAGCAGCTGAAGCTCCTTTTCTATGATAGATGGAGATGTCATCACTTCTGGGGTTGCCCCAACTGCCTGTTTAGGGGCTTGTGGTCAGGCTGAGGGAAATGTCATGGGTCTTTGTCAATCAAATCACATGCAGACGTGGTATGTTTATTGCTTCCGAGTCTAGCTTTTCTAAGTTCTAACCTGGCCTTCAGAGACCACTGTGGCTTGTACAGAAGCGTGAAGGTTGGATGTGGGTAGTACCGTGGACAACACTAGAGATTCTAGGATGTTGCTGTTGGTAAACATTGGGGTGCAAATGGGCTTCCCTCTGGGTGAAGAGACCTCACAGACACAGATAGGAGATGCCAGGATATATTTTCAGCTTGTATTCTTTTAGTTGAAAATTATGACAGCAACTCGATTCAAATGAACTTTCGTTAAAAGAGGCATGTTATGGCTGACATAACTGAAAAGTCTAGGACTGGGGTTCAAATGACGTTATGAGCATTTATTTGCTTCCTCTGAGTTCTGCTATATCTGTAGTAGCTTTCTTCTCTCCACCTGGTGACCCCTTGTGCATCTAGACTTAGTTTCTACCACCCGAGCAATCCTGATGTAAAAAGAGTTCATCTCTTTCCTGATGGTACCAGCAAAAATGTTGGGGATGATGTTAATGTTCAAAGGCTTTGATCAGCTCATATGGGGTCACAGGGCCATTCCTGAACTGTGACCAGGAACTGTGATCCCCCGTGACTAGCAGGGTGGAATATTTCCACAGGCCAGGACAGGCCCACAAAGATCAGCATCACCAACTTCACATGGCTTGAAAATCAAGGAAGCTGTTTCTTCAAAGAAATATTAGCATGTTCTCATCCCCAAGATGCTAGAATAGGCAGAGCCACAGATGTCCACCACCCAGCGAAGGTGATTTGAGGGAGAGATCTGAATTGAATGGTATATCCCTTAACCTCTCAGAAAGTTGGATTTCTAATGGGACTGAGGAAGTCTGGCCCATAGATCATATCTACTCATGGGTGCTGAAACACCCAAGTGATGACTTTGGTATCAGTGTTAAGGGAAAGTGTAATGATATTGGAGTCATCAGATATGCTGGAAATGTGCAGGGGTCCCCGGACACCAGACTTTCCCCATCAACACAGATGAAACAGGATGAGTGGAGCCCATGTCGTTTAGGGCATCACTCTTTGAAGGTGATACCTCCCTGATCCTCTGTTACAGTAACCTCCCCTGTTCCCGTCCACCTCATCATTCTTCTTATTTCCTTCATATCATTCATCAGAAGGTGCAATAAGCATGCTTATAGATTTGAATACTTGGTAATTGACTTTATCCCTCTACTAGAATTTAATCTGAATAAGAGCAAGATGCTTGATTATCTTGTTCCTAATATATACTTCGCTCCAAGCATAGTGTCTGTCACAAAGTATGTGTGCAATAAATATTTTTTGATTGGAAGTCAGTAGAAACCCCTGGGTTCATGACCTAGGAACTAGCTTAGGGGAGCTTGGGGTACTTGGTGATAAACAAGATGCTCTCAATCAGGTTTTTTTTTTCCTCCATGCTCTTCAGAGATAATTTTTAAATGATAGTTTTGTGTAAAACCTTCCTATGAAATGGAAGGGATCCTGAGGTTGCAAAGGTCAGCTCTAGAGATGCTCCCCAGATAAAGGACACTTCTGTGGATGCTCTGCCCAGATGGAGGAAGCTTCTATTTTATTTAGCTGTCTGTGGATCACTCTTCTCAGAGTTGCTGTCTCATTGCATTCTCCCGAGACACTTGGCACAGTTGCCGCTGCAGGAAAAGAAAAGCACAGAGGTTTGCAGACCCTCGTGTCTCCCTGCCAGATTATAAGCTATTGGAGGGTGAGGACTGGGTTGTGCTCACTGCTGTGCCCCGACCAGGCATGGTACAGCGTTCCGCACGTAATGAGTGGATGTTGGTTGACTCAAAAGAAATAGCATTTAATTCAGTCCCTAAATCTGTGTCCCCACAGTGACCTGAAACTTGACAATGTGATGCTGGATTCCGAGGGCCACATCAAGATCGCTGACTTTGGCATGTGTAAGGAAAACATCTGGGACGGGGTGACAACCAAGACCTTCTGTGGCACCCCAGACTACATTGCCCCCGAGGTGAGCTGGCGCCATCCCCTCAGGCGCGTCTGTGTTGTGCTGATGTCTCCCCTGAGCCCTAGGTGGCCACACTGCAGCTGGGCGCGCCCAAGGGGCACCGGCCAAGCGGGACCTCAGGCTGGCCCTTCTCCCAGACTCTTAACTCGTTCCTTTGCAATCACACATGTAAACTAACTTAGCATACATCCCAGGAGCTCCGACCCAAAATGCATCAAGGTTTGGGAGAAAACTTCAATAAAACTCAAAAGAACCATCCACCACACATCAGTAAGATTCTCCGTCAAGCTGCTGTGGCTCACGGCCATATGATACCTCCTAATTATGCCACTGAAACGTGTGTTCAGGGAAGAGGGAAAGGCAGAGGAGTAAGAGAAAGAGAGATTGATTCCCAGGACAGGATCTGAGTGCTCATAGGTATGCAGTAAGTTGTGCTCAATCCTAAAAGACTCAGCATTTTTCTTCCTATGATTAAGATATAAATGAAAGTGTGAAGATTTATTTTAGTGCCTCCCCCTCCCTTCCCAGAGGAAGCGGTCAGTTGCAAAATGGATTTCCCCAACGTGTCATGGTGCAAAAATTTGTACCAGATGATAGCCTCCCTTTTTCTCTGAATTGGTGCTCAGGAAGGTGGCATCCTGCAATCTGTTACTGGATTTTTATGGCAAGGAACTGTGAGCTTGGCATAGAGTCTTGGAAATGGACATTCTAGAATTCCTCTCTTCTTGACTGTTAAGGTTTCATATGTAACAATGGTGATGGGAGGACCCGTGTCACTAAGTAGCTTGGCACTGAATTTAAAACCTGCCTACCCTGTTACCAAAACTCTTCCTCTTTTAGGAATCTAGTTTGCAACATACACACACAGACACACAAACACACACCATACCCAGAAGGATGTGTCTTCAAAGTCCTTTCTTCATTGCAGCACTATTTTTAATAGTGGAAAATAGGACACAGTCTCAGTGACTACCAGTGAAGGAAAAGGGTTGCAATTCATATTAAGAAATATTATGCAGCCCTTGTAAAGATCAGAACACACCTGTCTGTACTAACTTGAACAGTGTTTGTTAATCAAGGGATGGACAATAGACTGAACGATTTATAGTATGGAATGCTGTGCTGTGCTTAGTCGTTCAGCCATGTTCAACTCTTTGTGACCCCATGGTCTGTAGCCCACCAGGCTCCTCTGTCCATGGGGTTCTCCAGGCAAGAATAATGGAGTGGGTTGCCATGTCCTCCTCAGTGTGGAATACTATTAGACATCAATTCAAAAAGTGAATGAGATGTTTATGAAGATATTGAAACATTGTTGAGAGGAAAAAATCAAGCTACAGAATGATAAATACAGTATGATGCCATTTATGGTAAATAACAACACAAGGAACACTGCTATATGTTTCTTACAAGTATTTAGATATGCATGCAGAAGTATAGGAAATGCATGAAGAGTCCAGACTGGTTTTACAACACTGGTTACCTCTGAGGGTAAGGCCATTGTAAAGGAAAATTAGCTTAATCTGTATACTGTTTTAATATTCCACAAGGTAAATGTATTTATGTATTACTTGAGGAATTGCAAAGTAATTGCAAAGGAATTGCAAAGTAATCCTTTGAGCACTTAACCCTTTATTAGGACTCAATGGAGTTTTTCCTGTGTGACATACATTGCTTTATTATCATTGTGTTAATGATAATAAATGTTAACATTGTTAACAATGTTAATTGTTAGGATATCAGATACAGTTCCTTGATCTGCTGTGAGTTCAGTGATCTCTGGTTCACAAGGCCTGTTGCCCTTTACCATCACCTGGGGAGCTTTTGTTATTTTTTTAATTAATTAATTTTTTCCCCCTCTACACAGCATCGCAGGATCTTAGTTCCCCAACCGGGAATAGAACCCTTGCATTGGAAACTCAAAGTCTTTAACCACTGGATGGCCAGGGAAGTCCCTGGGGAGCTTTTAAAATGGGGATGGCCAGGCATCACCCTAGATGAATGGAATCAGAATCACTGCAGAGTGGGCCCCCACATGTGTGGTTTTCAAAGATTCCTGGACGTTTGTAAAGCCCTAAGGTGCGTTACCGGGGAAACTGCCTCCTCCAGCCCGCAGCCCACAGCCTGCTGGTGGGAGGAATGAACTGCAGGTCAGGTTTCCCTCTGCTTTGCCGTTAACTAACCCCCTCGCCTCTGGCAACTTCTTTCACCTCCCAGGTTCTCTTTCCCTTTGTAAAAGGATTAACTTGTTAGGTTGTCAGGAGGATCAAAAGAGACATGAAGTACTTTAAAAGTGTGAAAACACTTTCAATAAGTGTTCTCACAGAAAGCTTTCCTTCATCCATTGCAGGCAGTTCTCCTCAGAGGACACTTGTGATTTCAGGGCAGAAGCCAAGGTGGGAGATGGAGGTGGATAAACAGACTTTATAGCCAAGCTTTATAGGCAGGCTTGCTCAGACACATTTGTTGAGTAAAACCAGCTATCACTGAATTAGAGAAATTTCAAGTCATGGCTGACATTTTGAGGGCATAATATGTGAGAGGCACATATTTCTCTTTCATCCTATTAAAACTCTATGACATAGATATTATTATACACTTGGTTTTGTAGATGAAGAAACAGACTTCGAGACGTTGAGTAACATCTCCCAGGGTCACAGGCTGGGCAACAGCAGTCAGGATTCCATCTCTGCACTGTGTGACCCTCAATCCTCAACCTCTTAACCTTTGCTGTATCACCTTCCAATTTTTTTTTTTAACTTTTTATTTTGTGTTGGGGTAGAGCCGATTAACAATGTTGTGAATTTCAGGTGAACAGCGAAGGGACTCAGCCATACATATACATGTATCCATTCTCCCCCAAACTCCCCTCCCATCCAGGCTGCCACATAACATGGAGCAGAGTTCCATGTGCTATACAGTAGGTCCGTGTTGGTTATCCATTTTAAGTATAACAGTGTGTACCTGTCGATCCCCAGCTCCTTAACTAATCCCTTTGATACAGTTAGGTTTCACCCCTATATCCTAATGGATGGTCACACAGCTGTTCTAGACTTTACCATGCTCTGGCAATTTGGCCATAAGTATGAAAGCCTTTAAAATTATATATACCATTTGATTCACCAGTTCTACTCCTAGGAGTTTATCTTAAGGAAAGAAAATTGGACAGATGTCCACATATCTAATTACACGGAAGAACCTAATCAGTTGGGTATTGATGAAGTAGATTCTGGTATATCAATCCAATGGAACATTATGCAGAGGTAAAAGCTGGTTATGTTGATGTACAGATATTATCATGAAAATGCTAAATGAATAAAATGCTTTATTAAAGTTCCATATACTGAAGTATTTATGTAAAGCACACTCATACACACAGAGTTTAATATATATTAATAGAAAAAATCTAGAGGAAAATAGACCAAATATCAATCATAATGTCTCTCTTGATAAAGAACTAATTTAATTGCATTCTCGTAGCTTATCTATATTTTAAATAAATAATAATAACTGCTATTACATTTTTTAACTTAAAAATTTTTGAATTCTGGCAAAAAAACACATCACCATCTTAACCATTTCTAAGTTCAGTAGTCTTATGTATGTTCACATTCTTGTGTAAATGCTATTACTTTTATCATGAGAAAGAAGGATGAGTTTTCTCCTTTAAAATGCAGTGCTCCTGCAATGATATAAAGTAATTAGCCTCCAACTAATAAGAATAAATGGAAAAAAAAATAAAATAAAATGCAGTGCTCGCTGTATTAAAATTAAAAATAACACAACCGTACTAAGTGCTTTGAAAAGGCAATGTGACATACACAGATGCCTTCCCCGCCTGCAGGTATCTCTGTAAAGGATATCCATCTTCTTAAGGTAAAGAAATAGCTTCGGTGGACCCTGGACTCCCTCTTCACTCCTTTAGACAGAGGCCCACATCTGGGACTGTGACGGCCAATTTAATCTTTCACAATGGGCAGGTGTCAGGCCAAGGAAGAGCTCTCCCCCCACCTTCCACCCCCCAGGGATGCCCCACTCTTATTGTAAGAGAAGCACATATTCATTCTCAGCCACTGCAAGAACCTGCACATCTCCCTGATGGATGCCTTCTGTTTTCCAGATAATTGCTTATCAGCCCTATGGGAAGTCCGTGGATTGGTGGGCATTTGGCGTCCTGCTATATGAGATGTTGGCTGGGCAGGTAATTGAATTTTAACTGACTTGTGAGGAAAGTCCTCCCCCACCCCCATCCCCATGGGGCTCTCTCTTTAAGAGAGTGTGTCAGCTGGATACTAGCTCATAGCTCTGAACCTCTGTGATTTCCATGACCTTGGGGTTCCCCTTGTCTGTTGGCCAGTTTTCCTTATCCTATTCCTGGAAGCCCTGGGTCTGGCTTGGCTGTTGACCCAGGGAGCTGGGCGTGCTGGTTTGGGGAAGTCGGGTGGGGGGTGGTTCATGCAGGACTCCTTCTCCCACCCTGTGCTCTGCTCCGCAGGCACCGTTTGAAGGGGAGGATGAGGATGAACTCTTCCAGTCCATCATGGAACACAACGTGGCTTATCCGAAGTCCATGTCCAAGGAAGCTGTGGCCATCTGCAAAGGGGTGAGTGAGCCCCTTAAAGCTGGCAGCCAGGACCACCGCCTACAGGGGTGCGGGGGTGCAGGACGTGCCCTGCACAAGAATGCTGCGCCTGGGGCGGGGGAGGGGTAGTGGCGGTCAAGCTCCACCCCTGGTCCACTGGCCCCTCTGTGAGCCCCGTACAGACCTGCTGCCTCCCAAAGGAAAGGGAACTTTCTTCTGGTTCACACGGAAGCACCATAGAGGCCTGCCTGCAATAGCATGTTGCTGCTGGCTGGGCTCCAGGCTCTAGGCCAGCACAGAGTGCTGAATGAATGAGGTGCTGGAATGAATGAGGTGGGGAGCCCAGAAACTTTGCCAAAAAGCTGGAACCCGGGGAAGGTACCCAAGAGGGGCGCGGCATGATCGGTCAGCCTCACTCAGCGCTGGGGCCTACGACTTTAGTTAATAGTAAGAGCGTGTGACTTTTGTCCTAAGAAAGTAATCACAGTATTGAGTTTAAGGGATCCTCTAGATAAGTTGACCCAAATTAACTGTCTCCCGACCCTCACTCTCTCCCTAACCCACAAATGACTGAAAAGTTTGCAAGTTCGTACATTGTGATGTATGCACATTAACCTGTGAACAAAGCGGGACACCTGTTCTGGGTAAGGATTGCTTGTTTTGATCTCGTGTTTGGCCAGGACGTGCTCACAGTGACCTGGGTGAATCCCTGGAGACCAGTGGTCCCCCCCTGTTGGCACCATCAGGATGACCTGTGGTGCTCTTTTCAAAGGCACACACCTCAGCCTCCACCCTAGAGATTAAGTTTGGCATCTATCTGTATTGTGAAAAAGTCCCCGTGTTGCTTAAAAACCACTGCCTTTTAAGTATATTATTTGAATGCGGTAACTCTTCAACCCTGATGAAAGTATGAAAGTAACACTATGAGACCCCAGAGAACAGGAGTCAGGGATGCTGCCTTTATGAAGTTTTCCTTCCCACCAGTCAGCAGTGCCAGCATGGCTCAGGGTTAGAGCATGCCCACCTGTGTGTCTGGATAACCCAGGGCTGCTGGTTCTAGATCCTCATGGTGTTTACAGAGTTCTCATTGCCCAACCCAGCCCTGCCCTTCCTAACCCATCAGATGGCGTGTGAGCTGGCCTGAGTGAAGGAAAGCTGAACTCAGGAGGTTTATAACAGCTGGGCCAACCTCAATCTAGAAGCACCTTGTCCTGCTGCCTAAATTCCCACTCTTAGTGAATCACCTAAGCTTTGTCAGCTGCATAGGTTAGGATGCAAATATCCCTGGGGAAGACATATGTGAATTCATCTCAGTCCCTAACATCTTAAAATTTATAGTTTGAAAATAGTTTCTGAGGGTATGAGGCAGGAAGAGGGAAGAGGAGGAACAGGGCGTGGAGAGGTTCATGTGCTTGCTTAGTCACTCAGTTGTGTCCGACTCTTTGTGAGCCCATGGATTGTAGCCTGCCAGGATCCTCTGTCCATGGGATTCTCCGTCCATGGGATTCTCCAGGCAAGAATTCTGGAGTGGGTTGCCATATCCTCCTCCAGGGGATCTTCCCAAGCCAGGGATTAAACCTGGGTCTCCTACATTGCAGGCTGATTCTTTACCATCTGGGTCACCAGGGAAGCCGAAGAATACTGGAGTGGGTAGCCTATTCCTTCTCCAGGGGATCTTCCCGACCCAGGAGTTGAACTGGGGTCTCCTGCATTGCAGGTGGATTCTTTACCAGCTGAGCTGTTCATGAGGAGCTTCAACGAAGCCCTTGGCAAATAAAGGGCATAGAACAAGGCCAGGGCAAACCCCTGCAGTCATCATACAGGGTGGGGAGAGAGGGGGAGACTGTATTGGAAGGCAGTCTTTCCTTCGGATAAGAATGTGTCTGCTCCTCTCCTGATTTTTCTGGGAAGAAACCAGCATCTGAGTTCAAGTCCAGGCATTATTAACCCTGTGACAGTCGGGAAGTTGTTCCACCGCATCTGCAGACTGGGGACACACATATGGGACCACACACAGGGTTCTCTGATCATGAGATGAGTTAATACAAGGAACTCAGTAGAGAGTCTGGCACTCTGTTCCAAAACCCTTGGGTTACGACTCCTGCTGTTACTAATGCTGGCACGGCCATGTTACACGCTAACCCCCTCTTGATATTCGAGTTTGCATTCCCCGTGACTTGGATTTTTAAAGTGGGGGATTTGCGAGCTCAAGACTATTTGTACATTTCAACCCTTCCACTTCCTAGGTGCACAGTCTTGAGCATATTACTTTGCATCTGTGGGCTTCTGTTTCTTTATCTCTGAAGATGGAATAATAATCCTCACTGTACAGAATTTTGGAAGAGTAACAGAATTTTGATGAGGTAACAGAAGAGGAAGCTCCTTGCATAGCGTTGGCACATAGTAGGTGCTCCATGCATGTTCAGGACTTTCCCCTTCACAGCCCTGCCTGCCTAGACAGCTGCTGGGGTTCTAAGTGGGTCATGGAGAAAAGGGTTTTCCAGGTCAGCTGCATTCAGCTTCAGCTCCAATTAGCAGTTTCCCTGGTAGAGCAGATTTCTATTAATTTCAGACCCATAACCTTCAGGATTAGCGAGGGTGACTTTCTTACTATTGGGTTTGGGGACCTTTCTGAGTTGAGTTGGCTGAGGCCCCGTGTGGACTTTTTCTTCAAGGTTGATACTCCAGAGAAGGAGTGATGCTCAAGTGAACAGCCAAATGCTTCCTCCTGAACCGTGGGCCCCAGGGGATGCATCTGGGAGGTGATCAGAGATCGGAAGAGTGATTAAGTCCAGCTGTCTGCATGGTTGGCTTCAGGCACCGGGGCACAGTGGGCAAGAGCTGAGCACAGCTTCGCATTAGTGCTGGGGTGTTTCTGCAGTGGTTTTTCTTCGCTTAGCATTCTCCTATTTACATGGAAAGTGAGCTAGGTTTTTGAAAAAGGTCTAATTCCATTTGAAAATATCCTATTATCTAGGGGTCCCCAACTTCCAAGATCTAATGCCTGATGACCTGAAGTAGAGCTGATGTAATAAGAGTGAAGCGCACCATAAATGTAATCCGCTAGAATCATCCCCAAACCATGCCCCCACCTCAATCTGCAGAAAAAGTGTCTTCCTTTAAACTGGTCCCCAGTGCCAAAAAGTTTGGAGACTGCTGTTATCCATCCCATTAAAGACCCTATTTTCCACCATAAAAAAAAAATTAATGTACAGTTTGCTCAGATCACCACTCCCTCTTTGAATAAACTTAAGGCAGACAGAAGCCCTAGTTGGCCATACATTAGGGTGAAAACACTAAGAAACTATAAGATGGAGCTTTAAGATTCTGGGTCAGGCTGATCTGTTCAAAGCACAGCTCTGTTACTTACCTGGGTGATCTTAGGCAGATGTCTGCTTCTCTGGACCCGGTGTCTTTATGTGGAAAATGAGGATAATAGTCTCTGAGGCCTTAATGCTGTGAAGATGAAAGAGTAACGGGTAATAGCTGGGAAGCCTGAGGCACAGAGCCCGGCACACAGGGAGGGCTCAGGACACGGAAGCTGCTAGTTTTTTATATGTGATTTTATTTATGTATGTATTTTTGGCTGTGCTGGGTCTTCGTTGCTGCCGGGCTTTTCCCTGGTTGGGGGGAGTGGGGCTGCTCTCTAGTTGCAGTGCTCTGGCTTCTCACTCACAGCTTCTTGCTGTGGAGCGTGGGCTCTAGGTGCACGGGCTTCAGTAGTTACGGCTCATGGGCTCTGCGGTTGCAGTTCTCAGGCTCTAGAGCACAGGCTTAGTCGTATCGGCACACAGGCTTAGTTGCTCCGCAGCATGTCCCATCTTCCCAGACCGGGGATTGAACCTGCGTCTCCTGCATTGACTGCAGATTCTTTACCACTGAGCCACCGGGGAAGCCCCAGAAGCTGTTGTGGATAGGACTGCTGGTTGTGCTAACCAAGGCCTCGTATCCTTTTCTTTCCTCCCATTCTAATCCTGCACAAAAGTCAAGATTTGGCCCAATTTCCTTGCCCTCCCTAAACTTTTCCTGGCCAAGCGAGACCACAGATCATCCCTGGGGAAGCACATGGAATCTATGTCTCTAAATGTCTGAGTTTTAGAGGTCAGCAGAGATAAGATCCAGTTCCAGCTCTGCCATCTACTGTCTCTCTGAGTCCTTGCCAGTTGTTTAACCCTCTGAGTGTCAATTGCCTTGTCACTCAAGTGGGGAAAAATTAAAACACCCAATTCATTGGGTCATTGTGAGACTCGGGTAAGACTAGGCATAAAATTTATAAAGAAGTAGCTTAGAAACAGAAGTGCATGTTATTTTTCCCCTAGAAGATAAAGTGTATGTGGAAAGTATGTGCTTCTCTGTGTGTGTGGGTGTAGAAGGGTAGTTTCTGATGACAGATTATCTGTAGCAAGAATCAGGCTGAGCTGAAAGTCCAACAGAGTAGGTGTGAATTGCTGAATTCACCCCTTCCCCCCATAATCCTCAAGCCCTGGGCAAAAATCTGAGGAGTCTGACGTCATGGGCTTCTTGGTGTCAAGTCAGCTCCAGGAAGCTTCATGGTCTTGTATGTTTGAGTCGTTTTGTTTCTTCTTTTGATGGCCTCTTGCTGATCTTTCTTTTTTAAAAAATTAATCATCAACTCCTCCGTCTTGACTCTCTGTGCATTTGCTTAAGTCTTGAGATCAGAGATATTTTCCTGCTGCTTTGGACTCATTTACAAGAGGGAGCCTGTCTGGTTTCATCTTGGAGCATCTATTCATCTTGTTATTTAGCACTGGCTCAGAGACCCAAAGATGGAGGGTTTTGATAATTAAGTAATTTAAATGGGACACCAAAGAAACCTCAGCGGAGTTTAGTGTAATGTGTGATACAAGGGAAATGAGCTGGGCTAGGTTTTGACTATTTAATGAGCTTTCGGAAAGTAATTACTTGAAACTTGGGTCCATTTGACTAATATTTTTTCTTCTGTCTTGTCATTTTCACAAGCACTTTACTGAGAAATGCAAATATTATCTGAATGAACGTGCCCTTTGCTTTGGTCAAACTCCCATTTCCTCGTGGTGGCAGGAGGAGAATTTGAAGATATTGAAACTGTTCTCATTAAATGGATCAGTAATTGCGTAGAAATCATTCTTAAATCAAAATGTACCATGTGATATTTCTGACTTGAAGTTCAGGACCACAGTCAGGCTGAGATGTGATTAACTGTAAGGGACTTTGCTCTGGGACCGGTAGCAGCAGACGCTACTCTTGGGTCTTCCTATTAGAAAGACCTGGCTGGGAAATTACTGCTGGGATGAAAAGCCAAAAATAAAGATTTAGTTGGGACTCTTCTTTGCGCTTTCTTCCCTCATTCATAGGAGCGATCATTTCTGAGAGTCCCACATCTCCTCTTCTGAAATTCATTCTACATTTCTGTTTCTCTTGAAGCTGATGACCAAACACCCAGGCAAACGTCTGGGTTGTGGACCTGAAGGTGAACGTGACATCAAAGAGCATGCGTTTTTCCGGTATATTGACTGGGAGAAACTTGAACGTAAAGAGATTCAGCCCCCATATAAGCCGAAAGCCGTAAGTAAACTGTTCTCTAAAGGCGGTTGGGTCCACATCATGGCATTTTTTGGGTCCATGTCATAACAGGCTCTTTTCTCTCCAACGTGTGTGCCCTTGCTGCCCTCCGAGGGGTGGACCTCGATGAACATGTATACAAGTGCTCATATTTACACTCAAAGGCAGCAGGTACAAAAATGGAGATTTCCATCCGCACAGTCTCGATATATGCGGGAAAGACCACGGATGTTGTGTTTTTGTTTTATTGATTCAATTATTGTAACCGTCTGAGCTGGCAGCTTTGGGGGAATGGTTTTCGGGTGAGCCGAGTTCAGATCCATTTTTGGACTGTGATAAAGATTCTAATTTCGCCCTCGGTCTTTCCTTGGTTCGACTGTGTCATTTTCTCTTCAAACTGACATTGAAAAGGTCATGTTGTTTATCTCAACAGTATTTAAATTTAATTCTGAAATATACACTCCATCTGAGTCAGTAAAGAAGACAGAACCCCGAGCCAGCTCCCACCCAAGGCGAACCAGAATGAAGCAAAGGCTGGCGTGATTGTAAAGCTCTCCCAGAGGCTCTGGGTGTGGATATGGCTCTTGGGGAATTGTTTTAAGAGTGAAAGTTTCACATTTCCCAAGGTCGTGTGCGTGCAGGAGCGCTTTTCTCCCCAAGGACTCGGCAGGGAGGAGGAGTTTTCTTCTGGATTAATCAGGACCATGATTCTACCGGAAGGATATTTCTTTGTTAAAGTACATGGGAGACCTGGTGATTTTATTATGGGTTGTAACTGCTGGCTAAGGCTGAAAAGTAGTAAGCCTGAACATAAACTTTGTCATCGAAACCAGAAGTCATGAGGATCTCAAATGTTAAAAATGATAGTGAAAGTGGTGCTTGTTTTGATATTATTATTATTAATTTCATGACCACTTATCTGGCCATATTAAGCAGTTCACACATAGCATCTAAGCAAATCCTCAAAACAAAATGTTACACAGGTGTTGTTATTCCATGTCATGGAAGAGGAAATGGAAGCTCATAAAAGTTGAGTGCTCTGTCCGAGTTCATTCAGCCAGTGTGTGAGGAAGTGAGGATTCAGAGCGTCTGACTCCATTAGAGGCAACACCAGGATGCCTGGGGCAAAGGACTTGTAGTTTAAGGAAGCCTCCCAGGTGCTTCTCACATCTCCCAGCCCTGCACACCCCAAATGATTAGATTCACAGAATCCCTGATGAGTCAGTCCTCTTTCTCTCTGGACAATTCCTGGTATTCAGTCATGGGGTCCTTTAGAGGCAGCGAGTTCCACATTGTGGTCCTTCTGATTGTTGCCAGGGTATATAGTGATACCAAATCAGCCTCCTCAGAATTTCCATCACTGAGTCCTGTTCTGTCAACCAGAGTCTCTTTCTCTGATACTCCGGAAACCTGCAGTTTCTGGGCTCAACACGCCCCTTCTCCACCTGTGAGCATGTCCCATATGACATCACCTGTTGTCCTCCAGGTTATCAGCATCTGTCTTGAAATGCAGACACAGGGCTGAGCACAGTATTCCTAATTGTGTCTGACCCTCACGAATACAGTGGGTCCAGTAAACCATCTCTTAGTTGTTTTACATCTGGAGAACTTGGACAAGTCATTTCCCCTCTCTGCTCCTCTGTAATACAGGGATGACGACAGTTTCTCTAGCGGGGGAGGGTCATGATGCATAAAGCACTCAGTACATGACTGGTAAACAGCAGGCACTCTGGGAGAGTTGATGATTTTTGTTAGCGACATGTCACATGTTGGTCAGTGTCTCAGGTGCAGGGTCTTTGAAGGGGCAGAGCAATGTAGGGTCCTGCTGGTGCTAGTCCGTAAGATAATGTCCGTACGTGCACTTGGGGTTCGTGTGTACACCTGCATGTCATAGGCAGTATCATCATTTTTATTATATGTAAGAAAAGATCAAAAAGCAATCTGAAAGACAAGAGTGGGTTCTATAGTCAGGAAACTGGGAACTTAAGGGGGCACACACACCCTATTTGGGTTTTGCAGGGCTATTCATGAGGTCTCAACATGCACATCAACCTCTCTCCACTTGGCTAGAGGAGAGATGTATATGCCCCCATCCCCACCAGAATTGAACCACTGACATTTGAGGTTCATTCCTTGCTTGGAGAGCAGTGGTTTTCAAAGAGTGGTCCCCAGACCAGCAGTATCACCTGGAAACTTTAGGAATGAAATTCTCAGGCTCCCACTCCCGACCTCCTGAATCAGAAACGTTGCTGTGGGGCTCTCAAGCTGAATCTGATGGACGCTTCAGGCTGGGACCCACTGCTGTGGAGTTCATGGTCAAAAGCTCTTTCAGGGAAGCTAGACAGAGGCCACAGGAACGTGGCAGGGAGAGAAGTCTCTTTAAGGGGAAGACAATGGTTTTTATGCAGTCTGAGGGAGGAGGGGCACCTTCCAGGAACAGGTCAGAGACTCAGATGTCTACAGAGGCCAAGCAGGTAATGTCAGTGAGGGAGGTGGGAGTGATTTAAAGAGGGGCAGGCCGGGGAGCTGGTGGTTCTCAAAGCTCAACAGGTGGGTGTTCATCTCCAGCTGACCAATCGGAGGGTCCTGTGGATCATCACTGATTGTTATTATTTTCTTTTTATCTTATTCATGAAAGTAAGAGTGATCTTTCCCTGGGGACCTTCTATGAGGCAGGCATGGGGCCAGCCAGGTCGGTCCTACGGTAGATGCAGGCTCTGCACTGCTACATCCTCCTCAGGACCTTTGTATGAAATCTCACTATTTTAAAAAACATATCAGCAACCACACTTTAAAAATTAAACACAACTCAAGTCAAATAAAACACCCATGAACCATATGTGGCTGTCAGTTTATAACCTCTAGGGTAGCAATCTCACAAAGTCTGGTTGATGTTTAGCTGAGTCCCATAGGTGCTGGTTACTTACAACCAGAGTCCACTTGGCTGGTTAAATACTTTGAATATTTATCCTGGCTCACAGAGGGTGCTCAGGAAAAATGAGCTGTTCTTATCATTGATAACACAAAATGGTTACAACAGCTAGTGATGATCTGTAGCAACCAGCTGATGTCTTGAAATGTTTGTGTGGTTTAACAATGACCTTCAAAGTACAGTGACTAGACTGGGCTGTAGACTTCAAGATGTTCTACCATCACCTCTAAGGGGAGGAGACACTGGATAAAGAATTTCGAATTCCTAGAGTAAATTCAAAATAAACATAATAATGTATACACTGGACTTCCCTGGTAGCTCAGCTGGTAAAGAATCCACCTGAAATACAGGATACCCCAGTTTGATTCCTGGGTCAGGAAGATCGCCTGGAGAAAGGATAAGCTACATATTCTTGGGCTTCTCTTATGGCTCAGTCGGTAAAGAATCTGCCTGCAATGTGGGAGACCCCGGTTCGATTCCTGGGTCGGGAAGATCCCCTGGAGAAAGGATGGGCTACCCACTCCAGTATTCTGGGGCTTCTCTTGTGGCTCAGACAGTAAAGAATTGACCTGCAATGCAGGAGACCTGGGTTCGATCCCTGAGTTGGGAAGATCCCCTGGAGGAGGGCATGGCAACTCACTCCAGTACTCTTTTCTGGAGAATCCCCATGGACAGAGGACAGCCCATGGTGGGCTACAGCCGATGGGGTCACAAAGAGTCGGACATGTCTGAGTGACTAAGCACAACACAGCACAATGTGTACATCACACACTCATTCGATTCGACTTGGGTATATGCCTTTCACATAGCAGTTGCCAGCCCTAGAGCCCCCAGCCCCCACCTGAGGATTTCACATTTTCCCTTTCCCCACACTTCCTGAAAGGCCCTGGTGAGTGTGTGCAGAGTTCCATGTGCCTCTCAGGATATTGAAAAGCGTGCACGTATATGTCAGCGTTCCTGACTCATGCATGCTATTAAATAGAGTGCAGCAAAAGAAAGAAAAACCATGGGGCAATAACAGAGGATTATATTCAAACACCAGTGAAGGGTGCTATTATTGAAGGTTCATTAAAATAATTTTAAATGGATTTTTAAAGTCATTCTCAGTGCATCTTTTATTGTGGCAGGAGCTGTTCACGTAGTATTGTTGGAAACTACTGAAATACACTGGCTTCATGTATTGTTTCAGGGTACAAGAGTAATTTTTTTAATGTGCATCGGATTGTGTCATTCTCTTGCTTAAATCCCCCCACTCCAGCCTCCTCCCCCCCGAACCTGCTCCACCAGTGGCTCTCTGCCCGCCCCTGGGATAATGTCTCTTGTTCCTCAGCATATATGGCTTTTAGGGTCTTCCTTGAACCAACCTCTACTGCCTCCCCAGGCTCCTAACTGCAAGAACTGGCATTGCTGAGTGTCGTTCTTCCTCAAACTCGAAGTGCCTTCCTTCCCTTCCTGGCTCTGCCCAGGCAGAGCCAGCCACCCTGGAATCCCAGAGCTGTCCCATGCTCCCTCCCTCCCTTGCCCTCCTGGTACCTTCCTCCTTCCTCCTCATCAAATCAGTAAACCGTCACCCACTCAGGGAAGCTCTTGTCAGTTGCCGAGTAGGGACCATCTGCTAAAGTCCTATCAACAAACTCATCACACTTTGTTGTAATTGTTCCCTGTAAGGTCTGTCTTTCTGGCGAGGGCAAAAGACTGTCTTTTTCATTGTTGGGTCCCAGTGCTTAGAGTAAGGTTGAGCACGTAACGGGTGCTTAATAATTTTTACTGAATAAATGAATGATTCAGCGAAAGGCTGTCAAATAAGATGTTGCAGTGTACTGTACTGAGGAACATACTGGATTCTTTAAGGATATTTGTTAGAGCACAGAGGGGGTTTTTCTCATGCCCAGCAGTGAAGCTCAAATAAATTGGTTGTTGTGTAAGTTACCCTATTTATAAAGGGCTATAATTTGGGTACTGAATTGAATCTGTCATAGCATCGTTTGGTTGTGTGATGAAAGATCTGATGATGCAATGCATGAATTGTTGCACTCTGGATGGGGAGGGCTGTGACTCCCATAGCTGTCAT